TAGCATGATGTGTAACAGGCTCAGGCATTAGTGTTATCTGTCACTAACACCCAGGCAGGAATCAATGATCTGAGCCAGCTCAGACTGAGGTGGCTCAATCAACAGTTGTTAGCTGAAAGAATGGAACATTGTTCAAGAAAGTGGTGATAAGAAAGAGGGAAAGGTCAGAGCAGGGAGGCAACAATTCCCTACTTAAAGGAATCCCCAGGGAGGCCATGACTAAGGGTACTTAAGGGTACTTGGACTAGAGCAGTGGTTCTCAACCTTCCTAATGCCCTTTAATACAGTTCCTCATGTTGTGGTGACCCCCAACCATAAAATTATTTTCGTTGCTACTTCATAATTGTAATTTTGCTACTGTTATGAATCATAATGTAAATATCTGATATGCAGGATGTATTTTCATTGTTACAAATTGAACATAATTAAAGCATAGTGATTAATCACAAAAACAATATGTAATTATATATGTGTTTTCCGATGGTCTTAAGCAACCCCTGTGAAAGGGTCATTTGACCTCCAAAGGGGTCGCGACACACAGGTTGAGAACCGCTGGACTAGAGGTTTAGAGTTCAAAGTCAGAAGAAATGTCCTCCCATGTTCAATTTTTTGTTGTTGCTGTTTATTTGACAACTTCACTTTGTTCAAAGTGTAAAACGTTGCAGAAGAAAGAATAATCTTTCAAGCACATAAAGCATGTTAATGTCCATATTTAATACTGAACAGGAAAGAAATTGTCATTTTACTGTAGTGCAAATAAATACTGGAGAATCAAATACAAACATGAGAAATGTACTTCCAAAAAAAAAAAAGGAAGATGGAAAATGGAATACTAAGTCATTGGAAAACTGAACCTCTTACCCATATGTGACTATGTTGCCCTTTAAACGGCCTCTTTAGCCTGTCCATGGGCAAAGTTCTCTTTTTACAATGGAAAGACTTTTGATTTCACATCGTTTCCACATTCAAAGATCATTACAGTTGCCAAGTCAATCCCAGATGATTGGGCCTAACATGCCTGATGAATTCTGAAGACAACCTCTTAACAGAATTAAAACAAAAACTATTCATGCAAATACCCCAACAGTTGATTGAAAAAAAATCTGCTTCAAAATTGCTAAAGACTGCTTTATGTGTATGAGGTTTCCTTCCGGGGTGAGGAGAGTGTTCTGTGACTAGGTGGTGGCAGTGATTGTACAGCATTGGGAATGACTAAATGATCCTGAGTTGTATACTTTGAAATGGTTGAAATGGTGAATTTTATATTGTGTGTATTTTACCACAATAAAAAAATTGATATTGAAATTTTCCATATTTACTTAAAATAGTTTATTTAAGGGACCTATGATCATATTCTTATTTGACCAATTAGATATTGTTTCAAATGTTTAAAAAAATGTACTATCAATAAACATTTCTGAATGGTTTTTAATAATTAAAAGCTTGCTTCTACTTCAATCCCTACACATCATGTTCTCCAATATCCTTTTTGTTGCTGTTAATCCTCACCTGAGGATATTTTTCCATTTATTTTTTAGAGAGAGTGGAAATAAGAGGGAAAGACACACAGAGAGAAACATCGATGTGAGAGAGACACATCAATTGGTTGCTTTCCGCACATGCCCCGACCAGGGCCCCGGGATGGAGTCTGCAACCAAGGTACATGCCCTTGATTGGAATCGAACCCAGGACCCTTCAGTCCACAAACCAATGTTCTATCCACTGAACCAAACCGGCCAAGGCCCCCAATATCCTTTTATGCAGAGCCCAGTGAAATGAGCTTAACTGAGTCTATTTTTTCCAGTAATGGGAAATACCATCCCATACTATTTACTCCCTGAAAATACTTTAGCTGGGCAAATGGATGCCCAGACAAGTGGGTATCAATATTATAGTGTACCATGTACACACAGCTACGACTCATTTTTCCCCCTTAGGTTAATTTTGAAAAGAACATACTCAAAGTCTTAAAACACATTCATTTTCTAGAATTATATAGGTTTACTCAGTGTGAAGAGGAAGGAAAGCACGGCAGCCCTTTAGGACCCAGTGGCTCCTGCCCATAAAACCAGGGACAGGGAAAGCCAGATAACTTGTGTCACATCAAATGAAGTCTTCTAAGAACTTTTAAAAGCTAATATAGCATGGTTTCCTTGTCATCTCATCGGTTCAGGGTGATGTGTCCCATGCCTAGCTGCCTCTGATAGGGTAAAGCATTCCAGGATTTTTTTTTTAAGGATTCAGGGATTTAGTATAATCATCCCTACTCATGGTTGTGCCCAGTCAGCCCAGTTTCTGTCTGCTTATAACCTAGATCAGCAGTTTGGACGTGCCAAAGACTACCACAAAATATTTGCAAATCTCAGTAGGGGAAAGAAAAAAAATGGCAGAGTGTCTGGAAAAACTTGCAAATTACTTTCCCCATTTAATACGTGGTTAGTAAGACAACCCAGGCTGTGAGATGCTGGGTGCACGCATTCCCTCCACCCAGGACTCCTCAGTTGTCTTTCTGACCAGGGTGTCGAGAAAGGACACACGAGGCTGTGGTGCTCAGGCCTCCTTCCAGCTTCCAGCCTCTACTTCTTTTTTTTTTTAATAAACATTTATTGTTCAGATTATTACAGATGTTCCTCTTTTTCCCCCCATATCTCCCCTCCACCTGGTTCCCATCCCACCACCTGCCCTTACCCCCTGCCACTGTCCTCATCCATAGGTGTAAGATTTTTGTCCAATCTCTTCCCGCACCCCCCAC